ACCGTTGCTATGTTATTTTGTCCTTACATAACGGTTGCTATGTTATTTTGTCCTTACATAACCGTTGCTATGTTATTTTGTCCTTACATAACGGTTGCTATGTTATTTTGTCCTTACATAACCGTTGCTATGTTATTTTGTCCTTACATAACCGTTGCTATGTTATTTTGTCCTTACATAACGGTTGCTATGTTATTTTGTCCTTACATAACGGTTGCTATGTTATTTTGTCCTTATGTACATAACCACAACAATGTTATTTTGTCCTTACATAACGGTTGCTATATTATTTTGTCCTTATGTACATAACCGTTGTTTTGTAAATTCTTTCTGATGTCTCACGAAAAAATTCGATCTCCTCTTTTTCTTTTCTGTGTTGTCTGAGCTAACTGTCCGATCTTGGACTTGTAAAGTTACATGTTCTTTAAGCCCTAAAATAACATGTAACAGCTCCCCCCCCCCAAAAAAAATGTTATATAACATCAAGTCTGACACGGCAAACACCAAGAAAAATGGATGGACAGCTCCTGCCGAAAATATTTAGGGAATAAAGCTAAGCCTGCAGCTGGAAACTTGGAACAATTAACAAAGACGAGGGGTGTCTCGGAGTTATATAGTAATGTAGACGCACTGCGTACATTGTTATGGTAGGCACCAATCACAGTAGGGTCTATTTCAAGCTTCTGGGATTTTCAAGGAAGTTTTAACAACTTTTTATGGCTTTTCAGGAATCGTGGGAACCCGGGTTCTTACTGAACTAACCAATATTTATTTCTTCTTTACTTACTTGTTTATTTCGTCCTTACTTGTCTAACCATTACTTGTTTATTTCGTCCTTACTTATCTAACCATTATTTACTTGTTTATTTCGTCCTTACTTGTCTAACCATTATTTACTTGTTTATTTCGTCCTTACTTATCTAACCATTATTTACTTGTTTATTTCGTCCTTACTTGTCTAACCATTATTTACTTGTTTATTTCGTCCTTACTTGTCTAACCATTATTTACTTGTTTATTTCGTCCTTACTTATCTAACCATTATTTACTTGTTTATTTCGTCCTTATTTGTCTAACCATTATCTTGTTGTTTATTTCGTCCTTACTTGTCTAACTATTATTTACTTGTTTATTTCGTCTTTACTTGTCTAATCTTTATTTACTTGTTTATTTCGTCCTTACTTGTCTAACCATTATCTTGTTTATTTCGTCCTTACTTATCTAACCATTATTTACTTGTTTATTTCGTCCTTACTTGTCTAACCATTATCTTGTTGTTTATTTCGTTCTTACTTGTCTAACCATTACTTGTTTATTTCGTCCTTACTTGTCTAACCATTACTTGTTTATTTCGTCCTTACTTGTCTAACCATTACTTGTTTATTTCGTCCTTACTTGTCTAACCATTATCTTGTTGTTTATTTCGTCCTTACTTGTCTAATCGTTACTTACCTGTTTATTTCGTCCTTACTTGTCTAACCAGTATTTACTTGTTTATTTCGTCCTTACTTGTCTAACCATTACTTGTTTATTTCGTCCTTACTTGTCTAACCATTATTTACTTGTTTATTTCGTCCTTACTTGTCTAACCATTAATTACTTGTTTATTTCGTCCTTACTTGTCTAATCTTTATTTATTTCGTCCTTATTTATCTAACCATCATTTTCTTGTTTATTTCGTTCTTACTTGTCTAACCATTACTTACTTGTTTATTTCGTCCTTACTTGTCTAATCTTTATTTATTTCGTCCTTATTTATCTAACCATCATTTTCTTGTTTATTTCGTCCTAACTTATCTAAACATTATATTTTACACTTGCTTTCAAAGCAAAATAAATAAGTCGAAAATAAAGAATTTTTAAGAAAACTTACTATCTGTCTTCTTTCTGACGATCAAAAACTTGAAACTACAGAAAAAGTTTCCTCTTTGTTTAAAGAAATAATCCTCAGTGGTTTTATAAACACACAAAACAACCACCATTTTCGAGTACTGTCCCAAACACACCAGGTTTCGCTTTACTAGTAACCCACCTTGTGCGAATCACGTGACCGCTAACAAGTGTGATTCGACCCACGATTGGACGAACAAGTGAGACAAGTTTCGGGCATGTTCAGAAAGCCGAACACAACCAATAGAGTTTTAACTGAGACATTATAGAACATCTGTTCATATTTCAAACTGGCCAGACGATTTTCAGGGTGCAGTACGCAAAATAAAACCAACTCTATTAATAAACTAGCCAACCTATGGCCCACATTTATAGGGTCGCTACAATGCAAAGTTAAAGCTTGAACAGCTATTTTACACTTATAATGAAAACTTAATCTCTTTAATCAAGTTACGAACGGTAATTAGTAGGCCTACTTATTTACGTGCTCTAATATAACTCAATGCTAAATTCAGGGAGATTCCCCTAAAAGTATTTTCACGAAATCACCTAAAGGATTGGGTTTCGGAAGAGTTACGTGACACACAGACACTGAATCTTATTATATTGATATTACTTGTTAACACCCAATTTAAAGAGAAATATCTCTAAAACAAAAAAGTTCTGGTCAAGATAGTAAACCAAATACGGAATAAACAAATTCCCATCTGTTAAAATAGGGACTGAATTTTCACGCTATTTTTGCTCTATAACTCAGTCAGAAATTGTCGGATTTTGATTAAACTTAGTGGACATACGTGGAATATTATTCCTCGTTGTCCTGCCAAAAATGATCCATGTGTGTTAAATACGACGGATATACGGACACATTTTCGTATTTTTTGAGAGGTGAATATGATCAACACTGCGTGGCGGAGGTACGTGCATTCCCGCGTGTCATCTAGTTGTTCTCAAATTGTCTACCTTCTACTTGGAAGGAAACTAACATCTTAACATAATAGTGTTATACAACACCCACGTTTCACCGTTTAACGCACTGTGATGTTTGTGAAATGCTTTAATATTTAGTTTAACTCCTGCTTGTTTAACTCACCTTATCCTAGTTTTCCTCACCCTAACTTAACATCCCGACTTTAATACATA